CAATTTGTTTAACAATGCTTTTTGGTCTGTTCAATCTCTCTGTTTCTTCTTATACCAGTTGGAAATTATATACATATACATGTGTGCGCACACAGACATACACACATGCACACATATATAATACCCATCCATTTCCCATTTCATTCTAGGTTTTCAAATTCTTTAGCATCTAATTGTTATCTTGGGTCTGTACTTATTTTCCTCTTTTATTGTATATATTGTTTTTTGCATCCTCCCTCCCTTTCTCGTTGTCTCTCTATCTCTCTTTTAATTGATCTGGCCAGAGAAGCATCTTGTTGATCTTTCTTTAAGAGGCAGCTTTTGGTTTTATTAATCTTTTCAATTTTTGTTTTCTTCTTTTGTTATCTATTTCAGTTATTTCTGCCTTTATCCTTATTTCCTTTGTTGCTCTTTTTCAGATTTCTTGAGTTAAATGCTTAGCTTCTTTATTCCATTTCATTGTTTTCTGAGAAAAGCTGTAAATTTTTTTTCTAAATATTGCTTTAGGATTTATTTCTGCTATTTTATTTCATTAAAAAAATTTGTACTAATCTCTTTCTGTTTCTTTTTATTCTTCTTTACTGTAAGGTTGATCCTCAGGGACCAGAGCACTATTCTTGATTCTTCCTGTTAGCTGCCTCTGTTCATAGTTTCACTTTTCAATCCTTAGGGAAAAGCAGCACCAGGAGGAGATGCTTTCCCAAGGTTATGATCCACCAGTCCTGGGGGTTTGGAAGAGGAGAGGAGAAAGAATGAATGCTTGAGGGCCATGGATCTGTTTGTCCACATATGTTTTTCTTACTTTCTCACACCAGAAGGGCATAGGTACTGACCTGTGTTATCCTAGAAACACCTGCACAGGCAGTCTGGGCTGCTGCTGGTGCTGATTTTGGCAGTGAAGTTGCAAGGATTGGTTGTCCCTATGGCTACCCCCTGGAAAGAAGCAAGAGCAGAATTGACAAACCTTTCCTTTCACCTGTCATCTCACTGCTCTCTGTAGCTGCCTTCTGCCCCGGACTGAAGTCACCCACTTCCAGTTTGCCAGTTCAAGATAACTTTCATTCTTCCCAAGGTTTTCTCAGCCCCCTCATCCAAGTTTCCTGCTTGGTTTTATTGTTTCTCTAAAGTTGGTTCTGGGGAAGGAGTTAGGAGCCTGTGATACTAGACCATTTTCGCTTCTTTCTTGCTAATTTTATACATGCTGCCGAGAGGTTGTTGAATTCCTTGGAATAATTTAAGTGTACTAGATCTTCCAGGAATAATTTTCACACACCAGCCTTCCTCTCATTAGCTTGTGCGGCAGCTTTGGCAGTACCTTTTTTATTGAACCAGTGAAAAAAGGGAGGATTTCTTTATGAGATAGATGCTTCTTCTGGAGTTATTTCCATCCATTCATGCGGGAGTGACAGCAGAAGCAGATCTTGCATGTATTTGTGTATTGTGGCAGAGTTTGGAACTAAAACATTTTCTCCCCGTTATGTCTGACTCTGGCTTTATTGTCTGTAGTTGTGCTGGCTATATTTGCCAGATTGCTGAGAACATTATGAAATTTTCTCTTTTCTTATTCTGCTGTTTTCTTATTGGTGCCTGTTCTAGCGTCGTGTCTGCTTACCATGGGTGTAGCAGTGGTTTATTGTTAACATGGCAGTAACAGTAGAATCTTTCATGTTTTTTGACCCTGGCTTTGTCCTAATTTGTCTGGCTAATGCTAATGTAAATAAGGGAGAAGTATCAAAGTAGTTACCAGAAAATGACTATAATATCTTAATGTTATTAAATATCTTTCAGAAAACAATTACTTCGAAGTAGCCAGATATTTTTAATGAATACTATTGACTTTCTCTTTTTCATAGTTTAGAAGTTTATAATTGTTTTGTCCACATTTAGACTTTAAAAATTGTTTGTTGTATACCTTAAAATTGCTTCTTTGGCTTTTATTCTATTGAACAGTCAAATATATATGAATGTCAGAAATATTTATCTCTAAATGTAAAATTGATAACCATGAATAATGTTACACAATATTTGAAGAATGCAATCCTCATTTGGATGGTATGGATGGGTCCTCACTATTAGGTTGTTCAACCTTACACCCAAATAAGAATCTTCTCTGTGAATGCGTGATGGTCTAGTACCTGCTTGTATTCAGCCATTCAGATATTTACTGAGGTTCTTTGTGTGCTAGGATCTGTGGTGAACTGGATGTACTAAATTCCTCCTCTTCTTAGGGATTTCCATCTGGTGCTTGAATATTTCCAGAGAGGCAGAGTCTCCCATTTTATGATGTATTTCATTTAGCTGATGGGTAGTTTTAAATATTTAAATGTTTGAGTGTTCTTCTTTATATTGTGTGGAAACTTGCATCCTGGAACTGTTCTCTTTGATTGTGTGGTATGAATCTTTTTCTCTTCCACCAGGCAACTCTTCTCTTTCTTTTGTACCTTAAACATCTCCAGTCCTTCAGTTGCTTCTCTAGACTTCTCCATCTTGATTATCATTTTTTACGGATGTGCTCCAGTTTCGCAAACATTTTTAAAAAATGTTAAAAATTAAACACCAGACTCTAGATGTGTTCTAGTTTACGCAGTTTGTAGCGCAGTGGTTAAGTCTGAACTCACCAGTGGCTTTATGGGAGAAAAGACCTGGTGATCTGCTCCCATAAAGATTACAGCCTTGGAAACGCTATGGGGCAGTTTTTCTCTGTCATACAGAATCACTGTGGGTCAGAGTGGACTCCATGACACACAACAACAACTATATGCTTTGTTCTGGACAAATTGTCTATTAGTGTCAGTAAAGATTATATTACACCTTGGACATCTATCAACCAACAGAGAAAATAACTGCCCTGGCTTCTTGGTGGCAGGATATGGCTTGAAGGATTTGGACTCTGTTATCTCCAAGGGACCTTTAATCCTAATCTCCATTTTTCTCTGAAAAGCCGAGATCCTTTTTAGGCCCTTTTATTTTCTGTCTGAGTTGTTTAGGTTTTATTCATTTATTTTTTTGTGTGTGATTATCAAAGTAACACCAATATTGAAAAGTGTAATGATGGTTTCCACATTTTTTAAAAGTTAGTTGAAAGCATACTGTATATATGCTTTTTACCCAACCCATCACAGGTATTTCCTCATGTTATTAAAGTAATTTTATAAACATCTTTAAAAGTATAACATCTAACAAGGATAGAGCATTTCCTAGGTGCCAGATACTCTGCTAAGCATTTAAAAAAAAAAAGCAAAAACAGTGTTATTGAGACAAAATTCACATACTATATAATTCACTCATTTAAAATATACAATTAAATGGCTTTTCGTATATTCATAGATAAGTGCAGCCATCACAATAGTCAATTTTAGAAAATTTTTATTGCCCACAAAAAGAAACTCTGTGGCCCTTCCCCATCACTCCCCCTCCCCAGTCTCTCTATCCTTTCCCCTCTCCAGCCCATGACAACCACAGATCTATTTTCTGTCTGTATAGATTGGCCTATTTTGGACGTTTCATATAAATGAAATCATACAATATGTGATCGTTTGTGGCTGGCTTCTTTCACTTAACATAATATTTTCAAGGTTCATCCATGTTGTAGCATGTATCATTACTTCATTCCTTTCTATGGCTGAATGATATTCAGTTGTATGGATATACCACATTTGATTTATCCATTCATTAGTTGATGAACATTTGGGTTGTTCCTACTTTTTGGCTATTATGAGTAATGCTGCTATGAATGTTTGTGCACAAATTTTTGTGGGGATGTTTGTTTTCATTTTTCTTGGGTATATACATAGGAGTGGAATTGCTGGGTCATGTGGTAATGCTATGTTTGTCTGTGGTGATGCCAGACTATTTTCCAAAGTGGCTGCAACTATTTTACATTCCCAGCAGTATATGAGGGTTCCAGTTTCTTCACACCCTCACCCACACTGTTTATTATCTGTCTTTTTGACCATGACCATCCTAGTGGATGTGAAGTGGTATCTGTGGTTTTGATTTGCATTTCTTTTATGGATAATGATGTTGTACATCTTTTAATGTGCTTATTGGTTGTTTGTATATCTTCTTTGAAGAAATGTTTATTTGTATGTACTTTTTATGTATCATTTAATTTAATCTTTACATCAGCTCTATAAGGTAGCTATACATATTATGTCCACTTTACAGAAAAAACATGTTTGCATAATCTGCATCATATGGATGCACTATAATTCATTAACTATTCTCCTAAATTTGGACATTTGTTTCTCCTTTTCCCATACTTGCCGGTATTTTCTTAGCTTAGAGTTAAAGGCTATGATCATTTTAAGGCTCTATATTTTTAATATTAAATTCTTTTCTGGAAAAACGATACTAAGTTATACTTCTGCAGCAGTGTATGAAAATGTCCATTTTACCCACTCATGCTAGCAATGAGTGCTGTTCTTAAAAAAAAAAAATAGCATTGCTAATGTGATAGATTTAAGTATCTCATTAAAAAATTATACCTCATCGATGTTATAATTTGATTTGCTTTGATTATCAATGAGGTTGATTTTTTCTGCTTATTAATAATTTTCATTTTCTTTTGTGAATTGTTTGTTCATTTTTTTAAATTTAGGTAACTGGCATTTTGTAGAACTTACATTAGTCTCTATGAAATTTACCCATTTATTTCTTCTAGAAGTGTGGGTCATTTTTAATGCTGAGCTGTACATGTTAGTCTTGTCAATCCAGAGACATTTAATATCCTCCTTGGTAAAACTCAGGCCCACACGTTTTAGGAACTCTCAGTTGCTGAACAGAGTAATGAATTCTGTTCTTAAATAAGAAATCTAATTTTGGCTTATTGGTTCATGAACAAGGTGTTCACATATTTATTACTTCTCAATTTGTTCATTTTCAAATTTGATAAGCATGTGGGCTATCTCTTATCTAAATTACATATAGACATTGTTGTGGCAGACAGAGCAAGGTTGATACAGATCCATTCATTTCTGTGTTTGCTATCTCCTCCTTAGGTGGTCCATGAATTGGAACTTTATAACACAGGATATTATTTAGGCATGTTCATGAATTCTTTTGCAGTCTTTCAGGTATGTTTCATTTGCTATGTAATTTGAAAAGATAGTAATGTCTTTTACTATTGCAGACTTTTTGAATTTAATAAATAATCATTATGAAATATTAACCTTTTATTAAATGTGTTGCTGAAGTACAGTTTGTTATATTAGTATAATTTGAAATGGAAAGAGAATCATCCTTTCAGTTTTAAAAGCAAATAGAAGAACTCAGCCTTAGAGAAATTAATGGAATTGTCCTTAAACAAATAACTTCTTTCCTTTATATTACTTTTCTTGCCCTTGAAATGACTATGGGTGTATGTGTGTGTGTTTGTGTGTGTGTGTGTGTGAGAGAGAGAGAGAGAGACAGACAGACAGAGAGATATTCTGATTGGTTGAGTGTACACACGTTTGTACCCAAGCTTTCAAAAATGAGCAAGAGTGAGTCCAGAGTATGGGAGACTCCTGTGATCATTTAAACTTTTTAGAGATCATTTAAACTTTAGAGATCATTTAAACTTTTACTTTAAAAGAAAACTAAAAATTATTCTTTCTAGGAATGTGGCCTTTGGGTACTGACAGATGCAAACCTTGTGAAGGATTACATTGATGGTGTTTGTAAGTAAAACATGGCAATATGATTGTAAAGTATTTAAGTCTTTCATCTCAGATATTTAATAGTACTTACACAGATCTAGGTATTTTCTGGCTTAACATGGATATATGATTTTCATTTTCAGCTCTCTTGTCCTGAGAATATTTGGAATTTAATGTATTTGGAAGTTGAGGTTTTCATCCTGGCCATGATGTCAGAATGTTTGTCTGGGCTGCTATCTAAATCTTTGAAATGAATGCTTTCCATTGCTCTCTGTAATTTGAGGGGTTATATTTTTGGACACAGTGGAACCTTCTGTGCCATAAACATGCTTTATATTACAAACTGCTGATATTTTTGGAATTAGATAAAAGGAGAAACATGTTTTTGAAAAATCTGTGTTCACCGTGGTGTTCACCTGGAAAATAATCCAGATGCCACAAAGTATGCTGGCATACGTATGTGTGTGTTTGTATATTTGCACACATGTGCACACACACGCGCACGCACACACACATTTTGTCAATCTCGAGAGATTTCAGTTCTTCCTGGGCAGGATCAATCTATACATCCCAAATTCCCTGAATTGCTGAATGGGGTGGTTACAGTGTAATGATAAGAAGTGTCATTTTAGGAAGAAGTCATAAAATGTTTTGACTTAAGTAAATATATAAATGAGAATGATTAACTCTAGAAGGCATTCTCCTTTCAGGTAAAATTATGACAATATACCATCTTGAAAGGCTTCCCGAACTGTCACAGTTTCTATCCCTGAATTCCCTATTTCTGTCAGAAGTGTTCTCAGTTTCTCCACACTAAGCCTCAGGCTCTCTGGCTTTAGGCTGCTTCTTGCTACCACCATACCCTCAAGTCTCTGCCTGAAGCTAGGATTTGTTTCCATTTTGGAAATCTTCCACGTACTACTCTTCCTACTTCCTTGTTCCATCCTACCAGTTTAGCGTCTGCAGATATTCGGTTTTGACATTTGAATTTCTGACCTCCAGTCTAACTCTTTGCCCAGTTTTTATGTCCAGCCCAGTTGGTGTCTTCTAGCCTGTTGATGCCTGCTCTTGCTCTGACTAGGCTGTTAGTGTACATACCTGTCTTAGTCTTGATGGATACTTTCTGACTTACATTTCCATGAAACCCTTAACAATTTTATTTTAGCTTCTCTCTTCTGGATTCCCTACCTACACACTGACCTGCTTCTTCAGGTGTCATGTTCTGGTTGCTTCCTTCTCTATTAAGCTGTACAGCAAAGCTGGAAGGGTGGTTTCCCTTGGCTCCTGTGCTTTGTCACCAGTCATTTCAGCTTGAGTTTTACTGTTTCTTTTTACTGAAATTCAAGATAATTTCCCTCTCAGTCCTTGGAAATGTAGATAATTTATTCAGTTCAGTTATTGGGCACAAACAAGTCATATATATATATTTTACATGACTTCTAAGAGAATTCTTGATTCTTAATTTTTGGGAGTCAGAGTGGTAACAATAAATAATCTAAAAGATAAATTTATAGTCTTGAAGACTTCATGAAGTAATTTTGATCTTTATATATTAGAGACACATAGTGCATTTAGCTTTCCTCATATAATCCTCTATCCTGGACAACCTTCCAAGCATCTATTTTTTTCCATTCTCTCTTCATCAGCCTCAGGTTTTGCCCATCTTTGTTCGTATTTACTTATTAAATCCTGTCTGATGGCCACAGGAATACTCATTCTGTGTCAGTAATACTTATTATATCCTTTACCTTTTATGAGAGCCTTTTTCTGTCTTTTCACTGTAACAGAAGAAACCTGATACTCTCATGAGCACATTGTGTCCCTAGATACCTCCTTATTTTTTTGCCTTTCTTCTGGATCAGTGTCATTAGGTACATAGAGTTTAGTGTTTTTTTGGCTGCCTTCTGACTACTGTTCAACAACCCTTAGCTAAGAGCCTCTTATAATTTAAAACTCTTAAAATTATTTTAATTATAGCTCTTTCTGTCATCATTGAGGTCACTTACTTTCTGTTTCTCCTATACATTGATGACTCTTACAAAAGATTTAAAGTCTTACTCCTGTTGTCATCCCAAGAGATATGAATGTCCACATGGTTGACCAATCCAATGAACACTATCCTGTGATCACCACTATGGCAACAATAGTCACCCAAGGCCATATTAGATCATCACTTGAACCCTGCTCCACTCCTAACACTTCAAATGCTTATCCTTCTATCTTGTATACTCCTTCATTCTCCTAAGTCTATTAGACATCTTCTTTGGCCTTACTAAGATCTTTAGTCTCTTGACTTCTCCCAGTCCTTATGAGTTATTGGCTCCTTCTGCCTTCACTTTGCTCTGATACCTGGCCTGGGCCACATGACTTATCAATTTGGTGGAATTTCTTCCTAGTCCCTTGTCCGTTCATCACATCTTCCCTGTGAAACTCAACTCTGGAACAACTCAACTGTTTATTCTTACAGCTCTGTTTCTCCATCCAGATGCCCCATAAATACCTTGAATTTAATATTTCACAAACCAAGTTAATAAAGCATGACATAACCCTCGCAACTTTACTCTTCCTTCCATATCTCTGTTAATGAATCATCATCTGCTGTACCCAGATGTCCAAATCAGAAACCCAGAACTCACTCCTAAATCCTCCATCTCTTTCTTTCAGAGGTGAAACAACATAGTGGTTAAGAAAGGAATTTGCCATCAAATACTTGGCTTTGAATTTTGACTTAATGATCGAGGGCAAAGCCATTAGTCTCTCTAAGCCTCAGGCTTACCCTGCAGAATAGCGCTTATAATAGTACTGTCTTATAGGGTTGTTATGAGGTTAAATGCAAAAACACCTACAGTGTTTAGCACATGTTTGGCACTTGGTAAGCCTGCAATGATCTGTTATCCTGTCCCTCAGATCCAGTTTGTTCATTCGTTATACATAGATAGTGATGATATTAATTGCATGCCTAGCATGTACTAGTTAATGGGAATACCAAATCGGTCTACTGGGGCAGACCAACATGCAGTTAGAAGAGTGTGCTAAAGGACTGCAGAGTGCCATACCTGCACACAGAAGGCATCCAACCAGCAGGCACAGCAAAACCATCTCTCGAGACTACCCACTGCTTCCCTCTGTAGCTTCAGGCCCTCATTACTGTCCATTACTTGACCATTGAAGTGGCTTCCTAACTAACTCTTTTTCCTGCCTTCATTTTCCCCCAGCTCTAAACCATTGTTCACACTAATGCCAGAGTTATCTTTCTAAAACATGGGTTAGGTCATCTTCTAATTTATTTTACAACCTTCAATGGGTCACCATTGCTTAAAAGTATAAGTTCAGATCCTTCAACATGGGATACTTTACACTTTAAAATCTGGACCCAACCATTCTTTCTCCTCTCATTTTATGTCACTCTTACCAAATATTCATTGTCATATCCTGAATATGGCTTTGTACTTGGCTCACTGTGTGTTTTTTTTTTTTCTTATATGGGATGTTCTTTATCAAGACTTGAGACTGTACAAAATGGAATGTCTATTCCACTTGTTTTCTCCTAGCCAGACCCTTAGTCATCAGATTCTGTGTAAAATCAACCATTCTCTGCATTGTACATTATGCATATGTCTGTTATCACCCACATTGTGTTTATTACAGTTTTCTGTGTATCTGCCTCCTCCATAGTCTTATCAGTGAGTTCATTGCATTCATCTTTGTATCATTGGTACTTATTACAGTGTATTTTTTTTTCTTTTTAATTTGAAATAATTTTAGACTTACAGAAAAGATGAAAAAATAGATGCTCAGAAGTCTTTCTGGCAACATAGCTTCTTTTTATAAGAAAAAAGCCAATAAACTGGGTGATTGTAGCATCTCATGGCTGGTGTAGCCAATGATAATCAGCACTAGGGAGCTAGAAAGAGAAGAAGGGTAGTAGGATTGTAGGTTGCTTTAAAAATGTGATTTAAATTTTTAAATTTTTTTTCTAGCATCTAAACTGTAAGTATTTTTTTCAGATATTGGCCATAGGGGTAGGGAGCATTTTTTCTAGTTCTGGCTCTGCTGACTTATCTGGCTCTCAGGTTTCTCATCTAAAATGAGAGGGTTGGACAAGACAAACTCTAACGGTCTCTTCAGCTGAGGGTGCTATGATTCTGTGGACTAAGTTTATAATTCATTTTCTTCAGTGATTTTTTTCTAGCAGTTGTCAATGTTTATTTTTAGATGACAGTCCAGAGGTTGCTGAGAGGTTTGTGGAGGAAAGTGAAGCATACATGGTAGATTTTCATGACTTTTCTTCGATTAGCAATCCACGTGTCAGAAAGCATTTTCCAGAGACTTGGATTTGGCTAGACTCCAACATGGGGTAAAAATTTTATAGAGTTCCTTACTTATATATTTTTTGTTTAGTGTTTATTTTAAATAAGTTTTGCTCTTTTAAATGTTTAAGTACATAGTGTGATTAAGAGCTAAGTAGAACAAGAGGTTTTTGTTTTAGAATGATGTTTATCATATTTGATTTTATCTTAGTATAGTATTTAATAAAGCCACATGCAAATTGTGGTGATGTGAGTATTATCAAGGAGGTAAGGATTTTAATTGCATGCCTGGCCTCAGGCTGTGATCTTTTTCTGATGAAAGGTTATTTTCACTTCTATTGAAGTCATGGTCCCTGATGGAGAAAAATTCCTGGGAGTACATTTGTTGCCTTGGGGTGGAAAGCACTCATGATTACTTCCTGCTACCTTGTGGCAGTGCTTCTAACTGAATCCCACTCCTTGTAAAACATCCCCATAAACCCCAGGGAGGGAGACACGGATGGTAGAAGGAATTTGGATTAGCTGACAACACCTGTTACTTGGCCTGGTGATTGAGCATGTAAATCATGAAATGTACACAGTGTGTTATAGTCAGCCATTTAGGGAAACTTCAAGTAAGATGTAAGTAAAACCTCAAAAAAAAAACCCAAAACAAATAATAACGCTAACAGGGTTACAGAGAAAAAACTTCTCTGCAAAGTGAGAGAAAAAAATGAAGTTCAGTCTGAAAACACTTATGCAAAATTTATGAAAATAATGTTCATTCTGAAGATATAAACATTGTAGAAAGATTTTATTGGGATATGGATCAGTATGCAGTATTATGACCTAGTTCTTGAGAACTTGGAATCTACTATTTCATACGTATTTCTTTTTAATGGTTTTAAATTCAGATATGTAAATGGTTTGGAAAATTACAGTTCTTCCAAAAAATAATTTTAAGTTATGTTGACTTATTTTGAAAGGTGTGGGAGCCATTTCTTGGTTTTATGATTTTTTGTTTGTTTGTTTATCTTGACTTCAGTTCCAAGGTTTACCAAGAATTTGAAGTTACTGTGCCTGATACTATCACTTCTTGGGCAGCTACTGCTTTTGTGATCTCCGAGGACCTAGGTCTTGGACTGACAACTGCTCCCGTGGAGGTAGAATGTTAAAGGGCTGCTTATAAATTTACAGTGCCACAAAGCTAAGAAATTGTCAGCTCTTCAGTGGATTTAAAAAAAAAAAGATTGCTTATAATGTTGATCACAGTTTGAGATTCCTTCATTTTGCCTGTTTTCTATTTATATTGTAAGCTGTAGTAAACTACTGAATGTACTAAGTTTATATTAAGATAGAAATCGAAAAATTTGAAATAGCCCCTGATTTAGATTGCTTTAGACCAGTAGCTCTCACCTCTGGCAGACCTGAAGCCCCCTTTTTAAAACAGATTTCTTGTGTTGCCCCTTTATTTCCTGAGATGAAATTCATAGGTAATATAACCTACCTTTACATATAGTTTTTTGTAAAAAAAATCAGTGTAATGCCTAGGTGAAATAATAAGGAAAAATAAAATGAAAGTAATATAAAATAATAGGTATTTCAGTATGTAAATGACCAGGCACAGCTACAATAGAAAGCATAGTGAAATACTTAGCTGTTTACCCCATGAATAGAATCTTCTTGCATGTAACAGCTATGAATGCAGTTTGACACACATGCATCATTTTGAATACGTGCTGTTTGTGGTAATGTAAATTTCTGAAACCGAGCTGCAGTTTTCACTTAATTTATAAAATAGTTGTATTGATAAAAAAATTCATTGTGAATTAAAAAATGGTTTAGGTTTATATATAAATTGGAATTAGGTTCTAGGCTCACATAATTATAAACACGTGCTTTATCTGCATGATTGTCTGAAGGGACACTCGAGTCACGTGGAACATGGAACAGTTCTTCATTGGCGGAGATTGTCCTGAGCACTGCAGACTTTCACCCACAAAGTGCTAATCGAACCCTTCAATCATTGTGACAATCTAAGATGCTTCTACAAATGTCCAAACTGACCTCTAGAGGGAATTACTGCTGCTCAGAGACGGGGGTGGGAGAGTGGGGTGGAGTGGATTGGGGTGGGGATCATCCTCCCCCGCAGGACCTGGCCAACAATATGGGAGTGGGTCACCAAAGAAGAAGTATGTATGTGTGTATGTGTAGAAGGTAGTTATTAGAACACCAGTGGGCCTGCCACGTTTAGATTCTCCACACTTGCTTCTAAAACGGGCTGCTTCATTTGGCCAATGGTTTTTTAAAGCAGAATGGTACAGTAAATATAGCATAGTAGAAAGGGCACTTGCTTTGGCATCAGACACACTGGAATACAGTTCTGGCTTCTCTACTTACCAACAGTGTGAGCTTGTACTCGTTACAGAGATCTCGGAGCTTTAGGTTTTTTTTCCTTTAAAATAGGAGCATAACAACTGCCTTATAGGGTTGCAACGATTAAACGAGATAATTATGTAAAATGCCTGGTTCATAATGGGCACACAGTAAAATGTAGTGATTATCATTAAATCACTTTGCCATCATTCATTTAGGATAAGTTGTCATTTACTTTCTGTTTATAGGAAAGTGGACGTTTCTAGGTGAAGTTATAGGCTTCACAGGTTTTGTGAGGATTGCTTTTAATTGCATAAAACATGAGGCATTTTGACCTGAATGAAAATATGTACTCATTGTGTTCTTTCCAGCTACGAGCCTTCCAACCATTTTTCATTTTTTTGAATCTTCCCTACTCCGTTATCAGAGGTGAAGAATTTGCTTTAGAAGTAACAATATTCAATTATTTGAAAGATGCCACTGAGGTAATATATTCAAACTTTTGTTAATGATTTACTTTTCAGGAGAAAATATATTCTTATTACGTAGAGATTGGGTTGTGTAGTGGTTGGGTATCTGGGCATCTAAGCATTTTATACATTTCTGGGAGATTGAAAATAGACTTACTTTGTCAGTAATTTCATTTGTTTATTATGTCTAAGGTTATTATTAGCATGTCTAAGCTAATTCTTGGAGTCCTGGTGGTGCAGTGGTTAAGAGCTTGGCTACTAACCAAAAGGTTGGCAATTCAAATCCACCAGCTGCTCCCTGGAAACCGTATGGGGCAGTTCTACTCTGTGCTATAGGGTCGCTATGAGTTGGAATCGACTTGACTGTAATGGGTTGTTAGGTTAATCATCTGCTTAATTTCCAGCACAGGTTCTCCATTTTAGCCATGTTACTTCCTCATTATCTCTGAGGCATGTCTTTCTCTTTCCTGTCCCCCTGCATTTTCTCATACTTTTCCCACATCTAGAATGTATTGCCACTTTATCACTGCCGTTCTGTGCCCACTGCAGTTGGCAAGATTTATTCCTTTCAAGACTTGCCTCAAAAGATACATTTCCTGAGGAATCTAACCCATTCTGTTATGTTTGTAGTCCTCATGTTTATACAGTGTGTTATATTTTCAAAGATTTGTTGTTTGTGCCACATGCCTTTTGTCTGCATAGCTATTTAGTTCCCTGAAAGTCAGGAATTAGGCCATTGTTTGTATTTTGCCCATGTTAGTGTTAATCAAATGATTGATTTGGTAGGGATATGTAATTAATTTTATTACATGAAAATACCACAGTCTCTTTAGCTCTATATCCATAAGTAAATTGGTTTTTATTTTTTATTTCTGCTTTTTAATCAAACCAACATGGTACAGTGTAAAGAGCAAAGGATCTAGAGTCAGAAAGCCAGGATTCAGTTTTCAGCTCTGTCACTTACCAGAATATAATTTCTTTATATGTGAGATGGGAATCGTAATTATCTCTACAAAAAGTATTTTGAGAAGCATATGAGAAAGTAAGTGAGAAAACAATTCATAAAATGTTAAGGCCTAGAAAAATGCTATTCTTTTTTTTTGGATATGTATTTATTTATTGTGCTTTAGATAAAAGTGTACAGAGCAAATTAGTTTATTAAACAATTAGTACACATATTGTTTTGTGACATGGGTTGCCAACTCCATGACATGTCAACACTCTCCCCTTCTCAACTTTGGGTTCCCCATTACCAGCTTTCCTGTCCCCTCCTGCCTTCTTGTCCTTGCCCCTGGGCTGGTACGCCCATATAGTCTCGTTTCGTTTTATGGGCCTGTCTGATGTTTGGCTGAAGGGTGAACCTCAGGAGTCACTTTAGTACTGAGTTAAAAGGATGTCTAGGGGCCATACTCTTAGGGTTTCTACAGTCTCTGTCAGACCAGTAAGTCTGGTCTTTTTTTGTGTGAGTTAGAATTTTGTTCTACATTTTTTTCCAGCTCTGCTTGGGCTGCTCTGCTGTGATCCTTGTCAGAGCAGTCAGTGGTGGTAGCCCGGCACCATCTATTTGTGCTGGACTCAGTCTGGTGGAGGCTGTGATAGTTGTGTTCCGTTAGTCTTTTGGACTAATCTTTCCCTTGTGTCCTTGGTTTTCTTCATTCTCCCTTGCTCCAGATGAAGTGGGACCATTGGAGCATCTTAGATGGCTGCTCACAAGCTTTTAAGACCCCAAACGCTACTCACCCAAGTAGAACATTTTCTTCATGAACTATGTTATGCCAGTTGAGCTAGATGTCCACTGAGACCGTGGTCCCCAGAGCCCTCAGCCCAGTAATTCGGTCCCTCAGGGAGTTTGGATGTGTCTACGAAGCTTCCATGACCTTGCCTTGGTTAAGTTGTGCTGACTTTCCCAGTATTGGGTACTGTCTTACCGTTCACCAAAGTTACCACGTATCTATTGTCTAGTTAGTATTTTTCCCTCTCCATCCCTCCCCTCCCTCATAATCATCAAAGATTGTTTCTTTTTGTGTGTAAACCTTTTCAAGAGTTTTTATAACAGTGGTCTCTTACAATATTTGTCCTTTTGTGGTTGACTTATTTCACTCAGCATAATGCCCTCCAGATTCCTCCATGTTGTGAGACGTTTTGCAGATTCCTCATTGTTCTTTATCGTTGTGTAGTATTCCATTGTGTGTATGTATCATAGTTTGTTTTTGGGCAGAGAAATACTATTCTTGATGAGACTGGCAACTTTGTCATAATTTATAAAAGGTCACAACCAAGATACACTTCAGGACGAATGTTTGAGTCATATTTTCCTTGGAGTAATTTTAGCAAATACTCTCAATGAATGTGATAACATTTTATCCTGTTTGTTTCACATTTTTCTGTTGGGACCAGTGTCCCAGGATGACACAGTTAAATCAGGCAGGTGGCATTGTCAGTACATCAAATAACTTTTCTGGACTCATCCTTACCACCAATGGCTTAGGATAATGAGAGAACTTAGTATTAGTGGGAAGAGTAGAAGTGGAGCTGAAGGGTACCCTTTCCCCAGATATTTTTCAGTACAAGGGCAAAGTGTGTAAGAGAGGTGAAATTTTTCCTGGTGCCCTTTTATTCTCTCCTTGGCTGAATCTTTTTCTCATCTTTCTCTAGTCTTGGACCTCACAGGTATAATAGCACTCAAGTGGTGTTAAGACAACACTTTACTGAGAGCATTATTCTACAAAACCATTGATAATATTTTTTCTTCTAGGTTAAGGTAATCATTGAGAAAAGTGACAAATTTGATATTCTAGTGACTTCGAATGAAATAAATGCCACAGGACACCAGCAGACCATACTGGTTCCCAGTGAGGATGGGGCAACTGTTCTTTTCCCAGTCAAGCCAGCACATCTGGGAGAAATTCCTATCACAGTCACAGCTGTTTCACCGACTGCTTCTGATGCTATCACCCAGAAGATTTTAGTAAAGGTAAATATGTGAAATATTAAATAAATGAAATGAAATACATAATTGAAAAGCAAACAGAAGGTGGTTTTCTTCTCAGTTAAATTTGTTGGTAAGACCTAGTAGGTTGCCTCCTCCACCTTCTTGTTAATACATAATTATTCTCTCATATATCACATATATGTTTTAGAAGTAATTACCAATTTCCCCTTTAAGTAATCGAGGAGTAAGACCTGTAAAAATGGTGTGGTGGAGGCATCTGACCTCTTACTTCACAAAGGGGAAGGAGAATCAGCATCAACAGCCCAAGGCTGATTTCTATGAGGTGGAGGTCAGACATGCCTCCTTTCTCCCAATTCTGACACTATCTATCCCTCCCATGGCGGTCTTTACTTATCTGCTGAGTTCTATAATTTGTTACAATGGCCACACAGAACTCACAGACAATATTCATGATTATGGGATTCATTAGTGAAAGGTTACAGTTCAGGTTCAGAAATGCTCAGGAGACAGTTCTTTGATCAGGACAGCCTCTTCTCAACTGTGCCCACAGACAGGTCTCTCCCTGGCCCTTGGCCCCTCAGCCCCTTGGCGTGGCCTCTGCCTTGCTTGGGCAAGTGTTACAAAGCTCTTTTAGCCCCGCCAATAACTGCCCAGAGACACCCCATTCCACCAGTAAGCCTTGGCCTGAAGGTGCTCAGCTTTCTAGCTCTGTAGGTTGGCAAACCTAGCTCCACCAAGTGCCCGGAGGCACCCTACTCTGCCAGCAAGTCTCTTGCTAGAAAGTGCTCAGCTTTCTTGCTCTGTGGGCTGGGAAGCCCACTGCACTGACTCCTGTGGCCTTCTGCCGGTCTCCTTCGGTCTCCTGGTTCTGCTGCCGCTGTTTCTCTGTTGCTGCTTCTCACTGTACCTGGTGTTACAGCTCCTGCTCTCTCTCTCAGTGTCTCTGTTTAAGCCTAGCGGGATGGCAAAACTGACCAGTCCCCTCGTTAGGGTTCCATATACCTCATTTGCATCATCCCACTCAGTCATTTGGTGGGAGTTACAAAGACTATGGCTAGAAGGGCAATATTAAGTAATTCATTGCACCATAGACTATAAAGCAAGTCTTTTTTACACTCAATTATATCTAAAACTGTTAATTGGGATCCTACTAAATTGTGATCAAGTTGAAATGTAGATTTAGAATTTCAGAACTCCTCAGTGTAGGTAGGCAAGGTTTTGCAGATTTTTCCAGAGAAGTTATTATGTGTAAAAAGGCAGCTCAACATAGTTGGTAAACACTTGGGTTCTGCAGTGAGACAGCCCTTGGTTCAAACCCTACCTCTGCCAAATGGGACTTTGGGCAAGGTACTTCATCCCTCTGGGTAATAATGGGACCGACATCAGAGTGTTTTTCTCATCACCCTTTCATCTTCTTTATCATTTCCATTGCTAGTCCCTGAAATGTTCTGTCTAATTTAACTAAACTAAAAATTCATTAACAAATTGGAATTCAGAATCAAGAAACAGTAAGTATTTATCTAGCCAAACACAAACTGCAGAAACAGCATGCTTGTCTTCCTATCGAAATCTATCTCATATCTGTAATAGGTTAGTAGAGACCATGTTAATTGCGTTCCTTGTTTTTGACAGGCCGAAGGGATAGAAAAATCATATTCACAGTCCATCTTATTAGACTTGACCGATGACAAGCAACGAAACGCGCTGAAAACTTTGAGTTTCTCGTTTCCTCCTGAGACAGTGAGTGGTAGTGAAAGAGTGCAGATCACTGCAATTGGTAAGGATAGGGTATATCACCATCTGCTGGTTTATTTGTATATGGCAATATATATTTCCATCTATTTATAGAGGTATTTTCTTATGTAGTTCTAATGAGAAGAGTTTGCAGAAAGTTTTTAGTTTGTACCAACTGCTGATTTCAATAGAAAAGCTGTCAAAATATATATCCTAGACTACTTCTCACTCTTCATTGTGCATATGAATCACTCAAAGATCTTGTTAAAGAGCAGATTCTGGTTCAGTAGGTCGGGGGTAGGGCCTGGGATTCTGCATTAATAACAAACTCCCAGATGGTGTTGATGCTTCTGGTTTGTGGACCACGCTTTGAGTAGCAAGGCCCTGACTAGAATGTGGCTGGTGGGAGGGGTTATTTCTAAGAGCAGAGCTTGTGGCTTCTGTGGTTCTTGACCACTGGTGAATATCAGAATCTCCCATGGAGCTTTGTGGAAACACAAATATCTGGACTCTAAACCGACTAAATTAGAATCTCTTGGCCGTATGACTAGGACTTGTATATTTTGAAAAAGTTCCCTGAGTAGTTCTGACAATCACCTGGGGTACTTCTGTGCAGGGCACAAGTAAACTTTACAGCAGGAAGCTACCCACTGACTTTTGTCACCCTTTCCTAGTTACCTTCCAGTAACCTAAAAGATCTTTTGAATCAACTAGTAAATATATCTTCCACACACTTTGTTATTTATAAAGCACAGTTTGTGCTTTATTATTTATAAAGCACAGTTTGTGCTTTATAAATAACTGAAGGAAATATTCTAATTAATGACTTCTAAATAGCTTATTAGGTCCTCAAGTGTCAGGACCTAGGCATTTTTTTTCTGAAGTTCTTCTAAATTTCTTCTACAGGTGTAATTCTTCTCATTATAATCCTAAACAACCCAAGTCCCTATGTAGAGGACTTTATTTGGAACCTTAGATATAGTTCTTAAAAAGGATGAAATAATCTCTCTATTTAGGGGAATAAATTCTGCCTAAGCATTTTCCAAGGAGCCCTGGTGGCGCAATGGTTAAGCGCTTGGCTGCTAACCAAAAGGTTGATGGTTTGAATCTACCAGCCGCTCCGTGGGAGAAAGGTGTGGCAGTCTGCTTCCGTAATGATTACAGCTGTGGAAACCTCATGAGGCAGTTCTGCTCTGTCCTGTTGGGTCGCTATGAGTTGGAATTGACTCGATGGAAACGGATTTTGGTTTTTTAAACATTTTCCACAACATTGAGATGCTGGGAGACATAGCACACATGCTGGGAGATGCAATACACATGCACACGTGTGCATATGCACACATGTGCAACACACACTCATAGAGGGAAGAAGCCTTGAATTTTAACTGTATACCACCACTCCTTAGTGGGGCCCTGATGGTGCAGTGGTTAAGAGCTTGGCTGCTAACCAGAAGATCGCAGTTCGAATCCACCAGCTGCTCCATGGAAACCCTATGGTGCAGTTTACTCTGTCCTATAGGGTGGCTGTGAGTTGGAATTGATACAACAGCAACAGATTTTTTGGTTTTTACCACTCCTTACATTAGAATGAGTCTAGCTATGGTCTTTAAAATCCTTTGAAGTTTAATTTTTAAAGCTTAGTGTAAAGAAATGATTTTTCAAGTTTATTTTTACATGATATTTATTTCTCAAAAAATATATTTTGGAGGCCAGAATGTATGGATAATAGATTACTTATTTGAATTTTGAGAGTGTGAATTTATGTTTACTTTGAATATTAAAAACATAACCTGCAGTAGTAATATTGTAACCTCATTTATTTCTCTCTCTTAACATCTGAAATTTAAGACATCATATGCTAACATGGCTGAAGCCTACTTCTGTGGAAGAGATCTTTCTCTCTTTTTTACATTCAAATTTTTAGGATTATATTTTCATTAAGTATTTGGATTTGAGATGGTGTAAATTTCTAGAATAAATGACATAGGAGGATACTCTCATCCATGCAGCTCAATAGCAGTGGGGTCAAAATTAGAGCTCAGCCTCCATCCCTTAGCCATGGTGTTAGAACATGGGTAGAGGAGTCTTTTAAGCATGTGTTTTGTTTAATTTTAGATTATTGACTTTGAAAAATTTTCCTAATCCTTTTTGATTCTGAGAGTCACTGTATACTTATTAGTTTTACTTTGTTGTTGCTAAATAGAGCACATTAAAAAATATTACAACCCCTGCTCTTTTAAAAAGATCATTTCTCAAGTATTTGTAGTATATTAGTAAGAAATTAGAATAAAGTTCTGTCTGTTTACTGTGAAGAATGCTAATAATAAAACATTTCTTTCCTGTGTAAGAATGATGATTTCTTAATGGTCAATTCCTAACATTTTTGTTGAAGAATTTTTTAAAACTTATTTTTGCCTAGTATATGCCATATTTGTAACTGAGCTAAGATTTTCCTAATTTGTCACGTAATCTACAATTTCAGCACCACTGCATTATCATTTATTTAACCAATCTTCCTAAAATTCTCAAATGTTTTCTTTCTATTCTGAGCAGTGTAATAAATATACTGCTTAAACAACAGGTATCTTCTGTACTCATTCATTGAGATAAGTTATTTACTTGTCTTTTTGCCACCAGCAGGTAACAGTTAATTGAGTATATACTGAATGAATTTAATGTCTTGTACTTTCAGGAGATATTCTTGGTCCTTCCATCAATGGCTTAGCTTCATTGATTAGGATGCCTTATGGCTGTGGGGAACAGAACATGATAAATTTTGCTCCAAATATTTACACTTTGGATTATTTGACTAAAAAGAAACAACTGACAGACAGTTTAAGAGAAAAAGCCCTTTCATATATGAGGCAAGGTAAGCATTTTAGAAAGATACTTCTATTAAAAAAAATTTTGTTTTTCTTTTTCAGTAAGGTTCTCTGAAATCTCAAAATAGATTTTGTCTTTGGTTGTGGTGTTGGGGGTACATGGTGGTGAAATGTGCCATAAGTATAACAGTGGGAAGCTGTTACCAGTCTTACTTTAGCTAATTGTTCTCTAGTTGCTGCTAAGACGTTTGTTAGTAATGGCTTAAGGAATTAGTTTTTGGAGGGGTTTGTATTTTATAAGGGACCTGAAACTTACAACTCTTTAAAAGTCTAAAGGAATGAGTATTCATTTTTTTATCACACATTTATGAAGTATTTCTTATGTGCCAGGCTCAGTTCTAGTGCTGAATTCCTCTCAAGGAATTCACTGTTCAGTGGGGAGGACAGTCCTGTATATAAATGCATGTAATGTCATGTGGTGGGGGCCGGGAGAAGTGTTTGTATGGGGAGGGCCTACTACCCGCTTCAAAAATGCCATACTAGTGATGATTCTACTCTTACTCCTTGAGAGGTTGGTACCATTCACAGACACCCAGATGCTTTGTGTCTGCGACTTGCAGATAATATCAGTTAACATTAGTTGGGCACTTACCATGTGGTAGGCAGTGTTCTAAGCACTTTATATCTAATATCTCATTTAATGATCACAATTAGCATTAGTTTTATCCTCATTTTTATAGATGAGGAGATTGAAATCGAGACAGAGTACATACAATCAACTAACTTGCCCAGAGTCATATAACAAATACATGGCAGAGCTGGCCTGAGTTCATACCTATGAGAAAATGAAAAGTTGTGAGAAATTTTTGGTAATATTAAGGCAAATTTGATTTCTGGAAATACTCCAAAGCCAACCGCTCAAAGTTACAGTCTCAGTTTTGCACTTCCTGGTTAGGGGACTTTAGAAAAAAAATCTGTGTGCCTGAGTTTATCTGTCTACAGAATTTGTAGGCTACATGCTATCCATCAAACTCATGAGGATTAGAACGGTGCATATATAATGATTGGAAATTCCCTGTTCAGTATAATATAAATCTAGTTCAACGCTTTCCAACTCCTAAGTCCTTTTCTTTTCCTTCGTTTTTCTGTCTCTTTCCCTCCCTCCTTCCTTCCTCCTGCCCTCTATTCCTCCCTGTCTTTCTTCCTTCCCTCTATCCCTCCCTCCCTAGGAATGGGTTAAATGCAAAGTAGAGGCAAGCTAGTATGCTTTTCTGCTAATTTTTCCATCACTAAGAATTGGAAGACTCAGTAAAGACACTATTTTGATGTGAGCCTTTCTTCCAGTTTCCCTCATTATGTAGAGACTTGTTTATCCTAAATTCTATGTAATAATAGTAATAACAACTAAACCTGTTTAAATGCTTTACAGTGTTTTCATTTAATTCTCACAAAAACCCTATGAGATAGATGTACTGTTATATTTACATTTTACAGGTGAGGACATTGAGGCACAATGTGGTTAATTAACTTACGTGTGGTTGTTTAGCTAATAAGGAGCAGAGCTGGGCTTTGAACCCAGGCAGGCTGGCTTTGGAATCCACACTCTTCCTGTGTTTCCTGAGTTGTTAGAGGCAATAGGATAGGATGGAAGAGGACCAGGAATAAATCAAGATGCTTGGGTGGTATGGCTAATGTGCAAGAGGTTTCAATGCAACTTCTGTTAAAATATTAAGGGAGGAAATGGGATTCTATAGCGAACAAGAAGGTTAGAATCTGGATTGTTGGGTTAGAACAGAGTAAATTTGTGATGTACTGCGTGAAATTAATCAGACAGTGCAGGGCTCTTTGGATCAGAATGAATAATCACACCACTCACTAATGTGGTCACATACCTTTATTACTTATATATTGATCAGAACAACAATAGATGGAGTAGGGTTTATCAGGAGCCAGTTTCCTTCAAAAGGCTCCTGTCCAAGGGTGAAATGTTTAGTCACCTCCACACCTTCCCTCAATGTGCTGTGGGTGAGGGAACCAAGTGGAATTCGTGCCTGGGGTTTTAATAGTGTAAACTGGAAGGATATACTAGCAGGATTGCATGGGAAAGGCGAAAAGGGTAAAAGGAAGGGGCCATTGTTCAGACACACCTGGCCTGGTCACCCTGTTACCAGGGGGGTATCTTTTGTTCAAGTGCACACAACACAGCCATCCTTTGAGCAAGGTGCATAACCAGAAAGAACATTCCTCCCCCTCTAGCTAAAGACTAATTTTGTAAGCCTGCATTTTCTGATAAATGATACAGTGGGTTAAAAAAACTAAGGGGTCAGTTTCCCATGGGGCACATTCTTTGATGTCACCATAGTCATGGAGATGGTGGGATTGGCCAGGTACCCTTTGGTGCTTGCACATGAGTCTGAGACAGAGGAAGTTACTGTGAGCTGAGAACGGGGAGGAAGCCTTCTCTGACAAGAAGGGACTAGGGGAGAGAGAGAGAAAGAGAGACCCAGTTCCCATCCTCCTTATCAGAGAATGCTGGGCCCAAGGCCTCAGCTTAGGCAGCCTTAATGGGAATTGTAGAGGCAGACTGTTCTTCCAACAGAGCTGTAAGGTGTTGAATCCAAGTAGATGAGCTGGAGTCAGTGTCCAATGATCTTCACCATGTAGGATGGCACAGACAAAGGTTGAGTGTGAGAAAAAGGCAAGGAATTGGGGGTCAGGAACCACTCACTGCATGAGAGGACAAAGTAAGGGAGACTAGGGTTTGGAATCAGGGCTGATGTGAGAAATGAGCTGGGGGTATGTTCCCCCTCAGATCAGCCCAGTAGAGTTCCTCCAAATACATTGTCTCATATGCTGAACTAAATTACATTTCAAAAGTAGTGGACAAAAGCTCCTTGGTGTAATGATTTTCATTATGAAGTCAGTGTCTTGTTTCAGAGACTGTGTTTTTTCTTTTGCCATCACATTTGCCAAAGTCCTTTAAATATACTGTTGTTTTTATTTTTAAGACTTTAAAATGTATTTGGCATGAGTCATGATTATATTATTTAAATGTCGTTTATGAACAGCACATTATTTTAGTTAAATCATGCTTGGCCCAGGAGGACTGTAACCTAACCCATTGTTTTTTGGTCAAAACAACAGCTACGTCATTGAATGAAGTGTCTTTCATTGTCAAAAAGAAAAATAGAACCATAAAACGAAAACTTTTTGTTAAGCACTGCAAACCCTGAACCTGTTAATTGAAGATTTAAACCACTTGTTTTCCTCAAATGCTTAATTCATAGTGCCTGCGGTTCACTATTTCCAGTGAGACTCAGACCAAGTCCAGTTGAAAATATTATATTCTCTCCATTGAAATAAAAACAGGGAAAAATAATTTTCAGAATTGGGATGCTGTGTTTGGTCATCACAAATATGACTAGAGGCCATCGTGAAAAAAGTGAAATAGTGAAAGAAGCTAAAAAAAAAAAAATCTGGTAAAGTTCTTACTTTTTATTTCATGTCACAGGAAGTGAGGGAGTTAATACTGATTTCTTTTAGTATGGAGAATATTTTTTATCAGCTTTTTACCAGAGAAGGTCATTGAGATAGTCACAAAGAGCTGGGTTTTACTTCTTTCATTTACATGTGATTTTGAAACTTCAGGTAAACCAAGTCAAATTATGTTCAGAACTTTTCTATGTGTTTCTATGAACAATACTTTAATATTTACTATGATAAATTGAGATATCATTGCTGATGTCAGATGGATCCTGGCTGAAAGCAGAGAATACCAGAAGGATGTTTACCTGTGTTTTATTGACTTTGCAAAGGCTATGTGGATCATAACAAGTTATGGATGACACTGCGAAGAATGAGAATTCCAGAACACTTAACTGTGCTCATGAGGAATCTGTGCATAGATCCAGAGGCAGTTGTTCGAACAGAACAAAGGGATACCGCATGGTTTAAAGTCAGGAAAGGTGTGCGTCAGGCTTGTATCCTTTCACTATACCTATTCAATCTGTATGCTGAGCAAATAATCCGAGAAACTGGACTATACGAAGAAGAATGGGGCATCAGGATTGGAGGAAGACTCATTAACAACCTGCATTATACAGATGACACAACCTTGCTTGCTGAAAGTGAAGAGGACTTGAAGCACTTACTGATGAAGATCAAAGACTACAGCCTTCAGTATGGATTACA